CCAGCCTGGCCAATATAATGAGAACCCATCTCAAAAAAAAAAAAAAAGTCAAAGATTATTTTTCACAACGGGGATTTAGGCGAGAAATATCGACACCCTCAGGGTTGACCAGATGGGCAGTACTGCACTGACAAATCCACTGAGTTAATGTAGAAAATGTCAGCTAGCTCAACGCTGAGAGACTACTAATGTCTGTGGCCCAGTGTCTTCCAAAGAAGAAATCAAGTCACTCCTCTTTCTGGCAAGTAGGTCTCCTCTCACAGAACAGGCTGACTTCAGAAGTAGCTTTCAAAGACAATGCTTAGGTCAAGTCATCAGCATTTAAGTACTCTTCCTGGTTGGGTGATAGCTCTCACTGGGCCTTCATATAAGAAAAGTCAGTGGTCTCGCCTTGGTCTTCAAGAATGGAGCAGTCACGGCTGGGTGCTGTGGCTCATACCTGTAATCTCAGCAGTATAGGAGGCTGAGGGAGGAGGATCACTTGAGCCCCGGAGTTCAAGACCACCCTGGGCAGCATAGTGAGACCCCATCTCTAGAAAAAAAACAAAAAAATTAGCCAAGCATCATGGCACCCACCTGTAGTCCCAGCCACTCGGGAGGCTGAGGTGGGAAGATAGCTTGAGCCTAGGAGTTCAAGGTTAAAGTGAGCTATGATTGCACCACTGCACTCCAGCCTGGCCAACAGAGCAAGACCCTGAAAAAAAAAAAAAAAAAAAACCAGAATGGAGCCACCTTAACCCTAAAATAATAACCTTTTGCCACTACCACCATATGATACCATATTTGAAAGATTTATTCAGGTACCTGAGCTTCACAGGTAACAAGGCTGTCATCTCTTCTCTTCCCCAAAAGGCATTGTTTCCTCCTTTATGACTAAATAAACAGTGCACATTATGTCTTCAACTTTAAGTCAGGTTTGAAAAGAAAAAAATGAAAACAAACAAATGCAAAGCAAGCGACTATATAAGGATGAAGAGACAGGAGAGGAGAATGGAGGAGAGAATGGGAGTAGGAGAAAGGTAAGGGGAAGAAGGAGATGGGGGAGGAACAGTGAACTTGGTAAGTTTGCTATTTCCAAAACCATGTTTACTGCAGTAAGATAATGAATGAGGAAAACATTTTCATTTTCTTTTCTGACAGCTTGAGCATAAATGATTGCTGCAATAACATCAGAAATTATTGGGCATTTTGAGGAGTCTTACGAGTGAGAAGCCAGCAATCCAGCCAGTTTGAAGCTCTGGCTTCAAGGTGCCCTAGAAATTTTGTTTTTCAAATGCAGGAATGTCAGCTGCTGGACTGAAAGTGATGTATACTGTCTAGTGGACAGCATGCTGGCCAGACACCAAATTTGGAGTGTCTCTCCCTGTACTCAGTTGTTCTTTACGGCCAGTGCTGCCCCCACAAGGGAGAGTTTTGTCCAAAGCCGACCAAAAATGGGGGTATTGTTTAAGATCCATCAACACCAAATAACACTGAGTTCTGACTTATCACCTCTAAAGATTCTTCAAGAAGCTGATCTGAATCCAGCACCTCTTGCAGCTAGTTGGATCTCTTTTGCCCAAGGCGGTTGATGACTTCTAGTTCTAATCTACTTAGGGGCCTGTCTGAAGGAGGCCTAAAAAGTGCCAGGAATAAAAGCAGTCAAGCCACAAGATTTTATGTGCTTTTAAATGAGACGTCCTCAAGTACATAAAACAACATAACCATTGTAATTTAATCACCTGCTTATGAAAAGACAGCCCTCTAAATAGAAGAACTGAGAAGGCAAATACTTTGGCTATACGGATTTTTAGAATGTGTCTCTGACATCAGATGAACTCTATTGAGACTCCCTGTATTACGCCAAAAACCTACCAGCCAACATCCAAGACTGACTTGCAAGTAGCAACCCTAATTCGGATCATGAAGCAGCATTACCATCACCTGTGCCCTTCAATAGGGTGACATCCACTCTACCTTAACAGTCAGAGTTTTATCCACTGTACATTTTTTCCATAAGATTCCTATGAACTTCTCCATGGAAAACAGATCCCTGGAATTTTTCCGTGATTTGGAGGAACTCCTGTAATTTGTATGAGGATAGCAATAATGAGAGAGAGATCAAACAAACACAAGAAATTTACACATCCCAGCTTTTCTGTGTTTTCCACTTTGGAAACCAATAGCCTATGGAGATAAAATGGAAAGAGCACATACATATCTTGAGTGTTTGTAAATCCTCAGAGTCGTACACAATAAGTAAACAGGAGGTGTCATGAGGAGGCAAAACACCACGAATGCTCCCAGTTCAGAACACACTTTCAAGAATGATGCTTCAATAGTGAAGTAGAAGGGAAAATGGGCATGAGTCGATAGAACAGCAATTTCTCTATCCTTTCTCTCCACTGTTACTAAGCAATGTCCTATTGGAACTGAAGTTTTTTTCTAAGTCTTTGATTGACTTCCTGACTAATAAGCATTGTAATCTAGTGTTTATTCTTTTATGAAGGCGGAGCAGTTGAAATATCCTAACACACATATTCAACCAACACCCCTCTCCAATTATTTTGTTGTTCTTCACATTGAAATTTGGCCTCTACTGAGAAGATATTGAATGGAAAGCCCATATAAGACAGAAAAAATAGAAGCACAATGGACACATGAAATATGTGATGTCCCAATCTATGTCTACACACAGATATAGACAGTTTGACCTGATAACTAGCAAATGACAAGCAAGGACACTGTGTCTCTTTACACATTATCTGATATTATTTATATATTATTATTTCTATCACAAAGAAAAACAAAAAACAAATGCTCAGAGAATACAAGAATAAACAGACAATCCATAGGTAAGCATTAAGAGTAAAATTTACTGAAAGGAGTTATTTTTTCCAATAATGATTTATCAGGAAAATCTTTCTTTGAAAAGTAAGTTATATGTGGTCACTAATCCTAAGCAAGGAGCTAATAAAAGAAGGGAAAAATGAGTAGCACAAGCAGTTCTAAGCTTAATCAACAAAATAATCATGCTTTTAAAAAATGAGGTAGTACATTCTCTTCCTGAAATCATTACAGTCTGTTAACTTAAAAGTAAAATCAATGGCGATTTGATGCTATACAACACAGTATAGAGTAAACCCAAAATTACCAATGTGAGGCTCAGATACACTAAACAGTCAAATAACTATTTCTAAAAGCCCTGTCTTCTTATTTTATTTGTTCTCAAAATAACTAACTGACACACATGGGTTGCTGCATATTTAGTTTATTTCTAATGAAGATAACTATTAGGTGTCCAATCTACTCAGTCCTTAATCTTTTAAAGGGAAACAGAGAGGGAATACAATTGTTTAGTCTAACGGAAATAGCTTACTACTATATTTTTCCAACCAATATTTTTCCAACCAAAAGTCTAACTCTTCACATTGTATACACCCATAAGATAGAATTCAAAATTCTCACAGCTTGCATATTACAATATTCAGAGTTTTACCAAAAATACAAAATATTATGACATTTAAAACCACCCAACTCCCCCCAAAATATTTCTTCTCAAAACCAACTCTAAATAGAATAGACAAGTATCCAGTTAATTCAATTAACTTAAAAATACAATACTAGTAATTTAAACTCAAGTGGATTATTTTCCTGATTTACGCACTTGGAATGCTTTAAGACTAACATAGACAACTAGGTTCTGATTTCTCTTCCCCATCATACTGTTTTATCTCACACACATGTAAATGCATTCATAAGTACACAATATAGTACTGTTTGCCAACGCTAGAGAATAAAACAGCTAGCATTGTACCAGGACGCCTGTGCATCTTTCCGTTAAAGCCATAGCAATATTCCCTCAAACACATATTCATCACTACCTTTTAATGATTCTGGGCTACACGGATGAAAAGTTTTGATTTAGTGCAGGTTAAAGTAGGACACAGTCTTTCATCTTTATTCATAATCAGTTCTGATCCTCTTACTGAAAAAGAGATAAATGCAAACATCTTGAACTCTTCAATGAGCTTCTCTCAAATTAAAACCTTTAACAATTTTGGGGTGTTTCAAAGTATGACTTCCTTTTTACCATGTGAGTGTTAACCAAAGAAATATTGCCCAATAAGCACTCCAGATAATATACTTTAAAAAATCATTTATAAAATGCAATAAAAATGATTGGTGCAGAAGAATACTGCATCCTTAATTTTAGTAAGATTGTTGATGATAACCAGAGTGAAGTTGCCTAAGCAACCACTCGAAAGCACATGCAATATTTAAATGCACCTTTATTATGGTTGCTCAATGTCTAAAAGTTTGTTGTCGGTAGCATTGCTATTAAACGTATAAGGCTGCCAAACCTATTTGTGGCCAAAAAAAAAAAAAAAAAAAAGCAACTCTGCAAGATAAATATTCTTTAATGATTTAACAGGTATATGGCACTAGAATATAAATACCCATAAATACCCCAAATCATAAAAGTAACAGAAAGTAAAAAATAATGTAGGCTAAGACAAAAAAAGACTAGAATTGACTAGTCAAGAACAAAATTATTAAACCACATACATTTACACAGACACATTCTCTCTCTTGCCACAAAACTGCAAAGTGGTCTATTTTTATTTCTAAAATGTGATACGCTTATGCAATTATTATAACCTAAATGTTTAGAGGTGAGTATAAGAAAAAGCTTCTAAAATTATTCTGGATGCTACTAAATCATGTGTATAACAACCAAAATATCTGGAATGCCCAAATTTGCTGTTATTGCTCATGACAGAATAATCTATGCAAAACCAGCAGGGAACATGGGAGGAGGCCTTATTTACTTCAACGTGTTTCTCCACGTATGCATCCCTGGAGAATGTCAGATCACTTTCACGTATACAGTACGTAATCACTGATGATTTGGGGAATCCACAAGGCCACAAAGTTGATACATACTCTGATCTAGAGGGGGAAAAACATCGAGAAAGCCAGAAGTTTCCCGTTTTCCAAGAAACTGAAGACATTCTTACCTTTCTGTACACCAGCATGTTAGGTGATTCATCGGCCACCCCGTTGCTGGTCTGCCCGTAATTATTCCCCTGGGCCATGTCGCTCAAAACTTGGTCCGCTCTCAGATACGAGAATTCTCAGTGTGCCCTGCAAAGGGTTAGAGAGACTTCAGTGAGATCCCAGTGGTGGTGCTTAGGGGACTCCCCTGATTCATCGTCATCATTCACAACACCCACCCCACGTGGCGCGTTCTTACAAACTGGGGCTGGCTGGAGAAAGTGACACAGGACATGGATATTTTAAAAAATTGGTTGACACCTATAATACCCTCAAGGAATTATAAGAAATTACAATCTTCCAGGTAGAAATAACCATTTGGTTATCGTTTGAGCTGACTTCATTTGCTGGATACTCATTTTGAGAAGTGTTTGATGCTCACCCTAACAACTCATCGGTAGCATTTCCCTAGGACAGAGTTCTCTTCTCTCCCAATACTTGCACCTGCACTTAGTGATGTTTTCCCCAAAGGGTGGCAAGGCAACACCTGGGGGGCGGGAGGGGGGGCGGGGCAGCACACTTTCTCCCAGGTATCTGTCTAGTGTCCCCACCTGCAGCGCATCAGAGAGGCCCATTCCCGGTGTCATTCTCCAGCACATGGTTTCCTCTCTATTCCCCCGGGTCTCCCACACAGAGCCAGAGTATGTGCTTCGCCTACTTTCACCTGCCTGCGCTGCCAGCCACCGGCTGCTCTCCTTTCTCCCCACTTCGCTTCGGAAGTCCGGAGGTAATCCTGCCTAATTTTTTTGCAAGAAGACACCAGAACATGTCCCGGCAACAAGAACTAGTGGGAGGTCAAGCCTTCAGGCCATTTTACCCGGGTCACTGTGGGTAAAAGTCTAACTGCAGAAGCCTCCAGAGCAACCAGCCAAAGAGGAGAAAACAGGCAAGCCCAGCTCCCCTT